GTCAAAAACTTAGTGGTAACATATGAGCAATTAGGACGAAAATCATTTCTCACAATGTGACTAATCCGAAAGTATAAACAACCATATTACAATAACGGCTATAAAGTCAGCACTGGTATACCCTGTGAAATTATTCCATCAAATGTGTCATTTTTGAAGACATTGCATCCCAAGTTTCCCATGATAACTTGGCAGAGTGGTTTCTTATGATTTGGAAACTAAGAGATGAATGCTGCCCTCTGCTGACCCATAAAATTCAATTTAGACAGAGTTTTAGATCAAACTTCAAGTAGTATTGACCTATCGTCGTTGCGAGTTAACCACGCCCCTTAGACAACTTTGGAGTTTTTGTACACTAACTTTTGTTTGTCTCAGATTTTGCGCGTTCCTCGTCCATTTGTATATCATGTAATTGGACAAGATTTCACAAGCTGCGTTGATGCGATTCTAATGCAATTCTACCGCGGTTCTACCGCGATAGGTCAATTGATGAAAGCTGAACGTTTGATTTAATAGCATGTTATTAATTGTGAACTTGCAGTGAATGCCAAAATTATGTGAATACATAATTCTATAACTTTCTGCTGTTCAGCGCACCAAAAGGCATCGGACGTTTGTAGGGCTGTCCATATTCGAATAAGTAAGTATTCAATTACTCGAGACTGTGTTTGACCGAATATTCAGATATTCGAAACTGCCAGCTGCAACTGCATGCCGTGCTCCTCAAATGTTGCATGCAGAACGCGCCAGTTAAAATTCTCGTGTGGCGATCGATGGAGTGTTTTGCAATTAGGTATTTTATGACTGTCGAGGGCTTTAATCTGCTAAAAGGATGGAACAATGAACTACCGTCAACAAAAGTTACCGTCGACACAAAAAGTGGCACCTGACAATAAATGCCACAACTTTATGATAAAGTAGCATCGCAGTACATGTATATGCGTAGTTTTTTGGATTTCGAATATTAAAAGCAGCAAAAAGCTATTTGGATATTCAGTTGATCAAATATTCGGTATAGTGGGGACAGCCCTAAACGTTTGCAGTGCGGTACATTCGTCTTTAAAACATCCTTAGCTTACAAGATTTTTAAGAAAGGCCAATCATTTGATCAAGTCCAACTTCTGAACTTCAGAAGTTGTTCAGGCAGATGGAAACAGTGGGTCACTTGGCCACGCTTTACAGAGTCGGCAGATGACACCAATTAGTGGCCAAGGTGATGATACACTGCATCTTCCAGCTTATTTCCCCCTTTGTTGGTGAGTCAGCTTCTGCCTAAGATGGCAATGATAAACACAGGAAGATTGTATGAAGCATGCCTGTAAGACCGATGGGGTTCTCTGTGGTGTGGCTAAGAGGGCAGGGAGTAGGTTAGCAGGTGAGGGTCCATGGAACAAACCAAGCATCTGGATATGCGTCGAATAAAGGAAAGGGTGTGGAGTCAACCAATGCCGGTAAACCACACAGCGTTTTGAAATTAGGGCGGGACTTGGTTCATAACAAAGACCTTCTGTATCCACCGCGGTAGGATAAATGTCAACTCACCGAGTAACCTGTGTATCAAGAAAAAGCAGACCTCACAGTGTCCCTCTTCATCCATATAGGTTTTTAAATAGGTTTAAAAAAATATCAAAATATAGGTTTTTAAAAATTCAAAGTGCCGAAATAGAGGTTTTTATAAGTTTTTAGGGTGCAAAACCATGCAACTGTTCAGCTTGAGGCAGCAGAAAAACAGTGAACTGCTTATACCTCAAGTATTCCACATTAGATAGAGTTACCGGTAACTAAAACCAATTTCTTGCGAACTTCCCACTTTTGAAAAACTTTGAGAGGTGTAATGACAATGTGTTTATTTTGGCATTTAAACTGCGGGGTCAAAATAGTACAAATTTTCTTTGAAAATTTTAAAATAGATGGCAGAATAAAAATATAGGATTGTATAGGTTATATAGGTTACTAAAAAAACAAAAATAGGCTCCCAAGTTGAAATATAGGTACAGGTTTTAAAGGTTTCGCAGTGAGGCCTGAAAGAAAATGTTCCCTGAACTAGATCAAACCACCAGCCAGCTATGAAAACAAGGGGATTTGAGCATAAATGAGCATAAAAAGACTAGTTGTCGTCATGAGACTTTTTATATACAAAGGTATATAAAAAAGTTATAAAGAAAAGAAACCTCACACGAACGTATTCATGGCATACAGAAATATTCTTTAATATATTTTAAAATGCATTAGAAAATCGAATGCTCATCGATTCCAAAATACATGAAGAGTCAAACTAAAAAATCTGGAAAATTGTAAATTTGTTATTCTTTCATTTACGGCATGCATGAAACTTTTATCCATCATAATACTGAATCAACTAATAAAGCTAAAGATTTTCCTTTGGCCCAATGAATATAGAATTCGTTTTCCATTTACAAGTATACAGATGTACGTAATAAGAATACCGAGTACAGATACGGTTTCATCATGTATAAACGTGCAACTAATGTTGCAATGAGAGGCAGTATGGATCTTTGGTCATTACATGTAAGTCACAGACTTGGCCACCCTGTTTCCAAATCCATGCTAAAAACCTGCCAGTATATAAAATTATAAATCACATGATTTCAACTGACCTGGTACGTCATTAAAGACGCTTTTTTAAAAACTTTGCCAAGGTCCTTTTGCATGAAACTGCAAGCTAAATGTCGTTGCAAACACAAAGTTTTGGCACTTTGTGTTTTGGCACTTTGTAACAAAATACAACGTAATAGAGTAGACCCCTCTAAAATTAAGTCACTGCCTACAGATTGTCACATGCATCGGCATTTTGGGTGTCACATACATGTACATGTTTTTTTTTTGTGACACGCATCGGCTGTGTAGTATTTCAAAGAAATTTTGAGCAAAATGCGTGTGTGTTTAGAACATTTTGTACACTGCGCGCACAGTGCGTTGAATACCGGTTGTAATTTGCCTACTGAGATGGCTGTCTATGAGAGGGGTCTATAATGAGGAATCTCTGACTGTGAGGGTGATGTAATTACATGTACATACACTATCACATAAGTTCATAGGTACAATTGTGGTGTAGGCACTATATAAAGCCTCTTTGGGGTTAAAAAGGGTTTTTTTTAGCAGTCAAAAATAAACTTGTCAAGGCAATGGATGTCATTAAATACCTGTTTAACACTAAAAACATGAATACCTTTACACACACTAAAAATCCACAAAGTACTTGAAATAAATATAAAATCATAACTTGAAACATATATCTACGTGTATGTACATCACAAGGCAGCTTGTAAATACAGAATACAATGCTGTGCAACACGATGTGCAAGCAGAAGCAGATGTTAAGACTAGGAACCAGTGTGTTGATGATCGGATATTCAACTATTCGTATATTCTTGCATCATTAGTATACATCATAAACAAGCAAACTCCAACCGCTGATATAAACTGATCAAACGTTGCTCAGAGCAGTCCCTATGTAACAGTATAAAGTTTTATGAAAATCCAATCATGATGAAAAAATGGTTTTACAAAATGACAGCTACACTACTTGGCCTACCTTTATTTGAATAGTACATGTATACTTTTGAAATAAAAAATATATATTATTTATCACCTTTTAACAGCCTCGTAGGTCATACTTTTCAAGAATTTCAACGGCAAGAAATATAAAAAAAAATTAAAAATTAATACACGGTACGTTTGTAAATATCTGGTGTACAAATCCTTGTTCACGTATATTCTTAATTATCTACATCTAAGGAGCTTCACGTAAATGGCAAATGTATGCTTGAATTCGGGCGATTCACAATGCAGTGCGCCACCAAGAGTTTGCCATGGAGAGTCCATTTTTCAAGTTTACAGTCGACAAAACATGGCCCATTTGAATGAGTGTCAGTAGACAACTTGATCTAATATGTTATGAATTGGAGCATAGCATTTGGCCGCCTTACAAAAAAACACCATATTAATAATAAGAAAAGAAAAGGGCAAACAGATCCTCGAATCATATGCTTACGAAACTACTGACCGGAAAATTAACAATTTCAAATGTCCCGCGCTGCGAATTTGTCGAACATTTCCCACAATGCACTGGGAAAAATGAACTCTCTGTGGCAAACTCTTGGTGGCGCACTGCATTATGAATCACCCGAATTTCATGACCGTTCGGGCTTGTTTTCTACAGTTCCATCCTTGGCAGATAGTCCTTTAAAGCTACAGTCCATCATTTGTAATTAGTGCATTTTGTTCGTTTGAAGCAACAAAAGTGTTCAAAATCTAATGAAGGATACTGAACAACTTACTTGATGAAGTTTCAGCTCAGCTCCAGCTTTATATTCCGAGAAAAACAGCATTCTAGGATCTCAATTTCAAATCAAAAGTTGCTAAATCATGTTTCGAATTGTTTTGAATGGAAGCTTGACGCGATGTCGCGCACTGATCCGACGAATTATAGCAACTGCGCGCGCCTGTGCGTCGTGCCAATGCTTGTGCGCGCTGCGCCGAATAACAAAACGAACTACTAATTTAAATTTTCCTACGGTGCGTCTTAAGACGCACCGTTGGAAACGCCTTCTTTCGTTGATTTCTTCAAAATAAGAGCTTGCCAGAAAGGATAATTTCACAGGGAGTTTAGTCCCCTTACTATCTTTCAACCAGTATGTTTTTCAACAATAATTACGCCAGTTACTTTTTTGGATAGCTGCAAATGATGGACTCGGGCTTTAATAATAATAATAATAATGGGTATTTATACAGCGCATGTATCTATCATTATTGGTGCTCAAGGCGCTACATCATTATTACCCTGCTTGTTGGGCCAGTGAAACATTCAAAATACCATCTCAGCTCCCTGGGGAGTATACAGCTCCATGCTGCCATTTCGTCGCAAAGCAGCTACAATCAATCACAATAACCATCTTTGCCCTCACAGGTACCCATTTACACCTTGGTGGAGAGAAGCAATGAGTGACAAAGTGTCTTGGACTCGAACCCACAACCCACAACCTGCAGAATTACCCGCAGACCGCGGATTCAATGCTCCAGACCATGAGGCTACGGCACTCCACGAATATGGAGTTTAACACCCGGAAATATTTAACGTGATAACACCTCTCAGTGGTAGGCCACTGTGTACTGCATCACAGACAGTACACATTTAGACCCTGCTGTCTACTAGGTTGACTTTCTCTTCATTGCTGGTCTTTCTGTGTTTCTTAGGCTTGGCCTTCACTGACGAATGGACTGATTCTACCAGCGTTAGGATATTGGTCAAGCTCTCTGTGCTTGAGAGGCTGGGGTTGGGCGGTATATTCATCTCAATCTTGGCACTTCCCGATGCGCGCTTGGCAGAGCTGCTGCGATGCCTGTGATCTCTCCTTGAAGAATCCTTCTTCTTCAAGTCGGGGTTGTGTTGGGATGGCTTGTCTCTTGATTTGGACCTGGAGCTGGTCTGATGTTGTGTTTTGTCTGGATTTTTTGGTGGTCTTCTTGAGGATGTCTCCCCATGAGATGATTGCTGAGGAACACGTTCTTGCCTTTTCTGGGATGACTTCTGTTGATGGTGCTTCTTCTGACTGGCTTTTTCCCTGTTTGAGGAACTGGCTGGTTGTGGTCGGTTGGATGAGTTTCTGATCTCGGTGTCTGGGAGATGATTCATCCTTGGGAGGATATCCGGGAGCTGTCTCTGCCTGCCTCTAGAGTTGGATCTGGCTCTTGTTGCCTCCCTTGTAGTATTGACCGACTCTCTTGGTGGGATCTCGCTCACTGTTTGTTGTCTTCTTCTAGGAGAAACAGACCTTCTGTTTGGTGGGGGCCCTCTCTGAGGTGAAGGAGTCCTGGGTGGAGGGGAGCTTCTTGATGGCGAAGAGCTCCTGGTGTGTGCTAAATAGGCTTCCTCTCCCGCACGGGAGTGACTCTGCCTTTGCTTTGGGCGCGCACCTTGGCTTTGGGATGAGGCTGGCAATCTCTCAACTGACTCAGGGAGAGTAGGGCTGTCCCTTGTTTGATTGTCTTGAACATTTCCTGGATGGTTTATTTCAGTGTTACTAGATGTTGTTGCTGGAGGCTCTGTTGCTTCCTCAGTTCTCGGAGAGACCCTGCTTGTTTGTATAGTATCTTCGCGAGATTGAGCAACATCGACCCCACTCACTGGGGTAGATTCTGCTCCCTGTTCGGGATCACCCGGTGAGGACTGCGGAGTTGCTATCTCTGTTGATACATGGGCAGTTTGTGATTGGTCTGGACTCTCGGAAATCACACTGGTCTGGACTGCCCCAGTCTGGTTAGAGCCAGGCTCATTTGGATTGTCTGTAGGTGTCACACTCTGTGCAGCAGACTCAGCTGATATTTCATTTTGTGTTTGAGCCTGTTCTTCCCTAGATTGATCAGTGGACTCTTCCTGGAGTAACACCAGCCTTTGAGCTGGGTCCCTTCTATTTCCAGAAGTAGGGGTGGATGGAGACTCCATGATTGCAGAGAATGTTGGAGGGTGATGTTCATCCGGGGTTGGACTGTATGGAGGGGGTTGATCGCTGGGATAGAGGTCTGCGATTTCAGAGACGTAGGCTGGGACGGAGTCCAACGAAGGGAGCCGAAGAGATGGGAGGTCCGTCAAGGCAATGAAGGCCTCGTTACTGCTACCAGGGACGACGTAGACGGGTATGGAAGGACCGTTGACGTGGATCTGTAGGTAGCCCCCTCGGACTAGAGTCGGGGGTCTAGTGCCCTGCCGCTGTGAGGGATTGGAATGCTGCTGCGGGGCTGATGCCCCCCGAACCGTCGCACCACGTGCGTCACCCAAGTTGTGTCTAGCCTGTCTGCCATGGGCTGCGCTGGTGCTGGATGACCTTTGAACTATACGGGGTCGCTCGTTCCTGACGTCGTGGTGACCTATGGTCGCCCTCCGTCCTGGCCCGGTTGTATTACTAGCGGTAGTGGCACTAGCTGCGGTGGGATTGGATGTCTCAGTGCTGGGCTGAGTTCTACTTTCTCTGTTGGTGTCGTTAGTCTGTGGTGCCCCTGAAGATATGCAAGATGGAACATGAAGTAAATCAATATTTATCAATGTGATCAACTCACTAAATTTAGCCTGTCCTCTACATATTGTGCAGAAGTGAATGGACCATTGACAACTGTACTGTTGGAGCGTTTTAATACTTGTACTAACTGCCAAGTTTTATCAAATCCATTGTAGAAACAAACAAATGTCTCAGCTTTGAATAAAGTGGTTTGGCTCAACCTGTCTCTTTCCTGTAAAATAATACTCCCCTTGAAGGATCTGGGAGGGGTAGAGTAGTGCTCTGCAACTTCCAATAATTTAGTATTCGATTATTGGAAATTGGATTTCAGTGAATATTCAAATATTCGAACATTGACATGTATTATGTAGGTATCGATATATTTTTTTCAAGAAAGCTGACTAGCTAATATGTGACAGATATTAAAGATGCATATTTTGGCTATAAAATCACAGATAAGACACATGTTGTTTTATGTCAACTGTTCAAGACTTTTTTTCCCAAATACTCTCTTTGGTAAAAATGCTATTCAGATACGCGATGGATAATTGAATATTCTGATACACAGTATTTTCGGCACAGCCCTAGGTTAGAGCATAATGTCAATATCAATGATTTACATACCATTATCTGACAGTTGTCTTCGGTTTCTGGACAGGCCGGCCTCTTGGAGTGCATGCTGATAACAGAAAGCAAATACCCAAAAAGTCATACATCAACTTTGAATTCAGCCAAGGAAACGCCAATGATCTGGGATTTGAACCCTGATTTTCAATAAAATAATAGTTCCAGCAAAGTGGACTCCGCATACAAGTGCCCACTTAATGAAAACGGGAAACAGCACTGATGTTGAGATACCCGTTGGTACAATTTCTTGCTCGTATACCAACTTATGTAACCGGTGAACAAAGCACGTGAACCAACCCAATGATCTTGTACACGGTACCCTGTGGAGACATGTGCATAACAGGGAACAAAAGATTGTATACATCTCCATATGGCAATTCCTATAGGTGAATACGTCTCCACAAGGTTATCACGAAATAGGTATATGGATTTTACTCAAAAACTAGGAATTTCCAAGGTGAGTTGATCTGTCGCAAATTGAAGTATTTTATGTAAGGGATATTAAGTCCGCATTTCAGCCCAGGAAATGAATTCTGGTTAAAATAGGAGCATTTTGAAACTGAATTTTCAAAGTCAAATTTTTTTAGTAAGGGAGAACAAAGAACTGACTCCAAGATACAAATTCCAGGATTAATGTCCAAAGTTGTTTATGTCACAGAACATCCTCTTTAGTTCACTCATACACAATTGCAGTTCAATGAATGTCGAGAAATAATGAAAAACAGTTTTAACGATAAACAAAGCGAACCCACCGCTTCCTTGGTAGCCCGCCTCTGCGAACACAGCAGCATGAATGAGAGTGAGCCGGTAACCAGACTAGCGATACCAGCGAAGCCGTAGATTATACACAGGATGTACAGACAGTCGATCATGTTATGCTCGATGACGGCACAGCTACGGACCGCTTGGAAAGTCACTTTCTCACTGTCAGCTGAAAAATGAAGAAAAAAAAAATTTAAGTTGCGTTTGAAGCAGTTGATACCTGTACCCCAACCAAGCGTTGCATTGTCCTTAACAGTCCTGAATCCTCCAATTTCAATACGATTTTGCATACCCCCTAGGGAGTTAGGGTCAATGGATTCATCTGGGAGTATATACAATGTAACACAATGAGGTACTGGCGCTATCGGTTAAAAATGAAAATGACTGCTGCTGGATTTAAACCAGCAACCTCTGTAGTTCTGTATGGATGCGCTACCGATTGAGCTATCTAGCCTTAGGCCAAAAAAAAAAAGTCTCCGGTTTCTGGTATTGAGCTTGCCCAAAAAGTGGTGCGGCGACACGTTTTTTTTTTTTTTTTTTTTTTACCTGTTTTTTTTTTGCTTCAAATGTCGGCTGATGACTGCAAATGGTGCCCGACTAAACTTTAATAGTGCAAATATTATGGGAGACCAGAGAGGCCACATAAAGCTTATTCTCGATCATAACCCCATCTAAAAACACGTTAAAATTGTGCAGCAGCAGGATTCCAGTCAAACCAGTGAGTTTGGCGGTTTTGAGACATCATCTTTCATTGAAAAAAAACTTTTTCATTTTGCCGACGCGCATGGCTACGGCGACGCGCGCGCATACCAGAAACCGGAGACTTTTTTTTTTTGGCCTTATGTTGGTGGTCTCCAACATTCTCAATGTCTTTGTTGGATATATTTATAGACTATGGATACTCTCTGCCAGCAGATAAATGTAATGCATAAAATAAAGTTCGACCATTTTCTTTACCGAGTTATACTCAGCACAACACTTAAAACATACTGGAGAGTTTAACACTTTTTTGGAGATTTTTGTCAAAAATTTGCAGCCTTTTGCACTTCACAATGAAATACCGGTCAAGTAAATCAGAAATGAAAAGCTGTTTGACGAAAATTGACAACATTAATCCATTTTGTGCTAGCAGAGTGTTTAAATATACTCGAAGGAAATGGCCAGAAAATATCCGATGTCAGACCTTAATTGCTGGCATGCATGAACGAAGTGCCAGTCCAAGATACGAATAATGAATGTTTATGAGTGCAATGGTAGGAATAATTTCATCAGGTGACGGATGCAAAAGTATCCATGCCGAGTGGACATTCCATCTGTCACCGAATGAAATTATTCTTTCCATTGCACGAATGTGAAACATTCATTATTTGTTTTTACACAACACATGAATTAAAGGGAATGTACGACATTTGCTTCTGCTGCAATTTTCAGAAATAAATGGATTTGGAGGATTAGTATGTTATAGCAAATATTGTTACAATGACTTGTTTTATGTTTTGGGTTCGTAGATGCTGGAAAAACCAAGAAAACCAATCATATTCTTATAGTCTGGTTCCCTGACCCCACTTAAGATGAAACAGAGTAATTTATAGCCTTTTGGGAATTGTAAGATCAGAGAATCAGTCTAGCAGGGTTGTAGTCTTCACAGGTGTGTAATCAATTGCAAAGAAAATGCAGAGGAACTAAATATAAAAAAGTAGGAGCACTTTTTGAAAAAAGCCAGTTTTCTCCAACGCTAGTCGGCCGACCAGCGTTGGAAAAATACAGTTTTTTCTTGAAAATGTCAGCACACCAAGGAGCCATCACTTTACAGGATGCTTTAGACTGTCATTCCCTAACAATCCAGTAAGATATTTCGTTTTTGATGTTTGCAAATGTTGTATCTTCCCTTTAATCCTCGTCATTGGTCAGAGCCACCAATAGGGTGACCGTGCAATGGAAGTTATAATACTGTGAAATCAAACTTCTATTTTTGCAGTATGGCTGTGCCACGGGTTGGGATGAGTAATTCACTTACAACATGTGATCCACGACGCACCAATGGACCGATCCAGTAAGCTCCGCCCATTGCGCACTGGGCAAATTAACACGTGCTCTTCTCCAGTGCCACACTGCGTTTTCCTGCCGCGCGCATCAAACGCGCGTGCACGCATGTCAGACTTTTGTGCACGCACATGGGACATAAATCACGGTTGTGATTGGTCAGAATTACACCATGGAGTGGTGCTTACTGGATCGGTCCGTTAGACGACAGCGATTCATTCAGGTGTTATATAATAGTTTCTATTCTCACCTCCGGGTACTATTATCCCCGTGCTATTGTTCTCCTTGGCTGTCAGTATATAGCACTGGCATTCCGACAGTGAGCTGTGGTAAACACAAGCGCTGAAACTACCCAGGAATGGGATGGACACGATTCCTACAGAGATAGCCTGGAGGGCAGATAGACTGAATACTATGCAGTTGAGTCCAATGGCTAAGTAGATCTATACCAAGAGAAAGATATGTATGGGTCAAAAGCTATCAAAATATCGTTCTGAGAATGATCGTTCTGAGAATGATCAAACATGATCTGAGAATGACTATATGACATTTTGTTGTCAGAGTCATCTGGCCTCAAGTCGAGTTAGGAACCATGCAAATAAACCCTGACACAAAATAATAGAGATACTTCTGTCGTCGTTCATTCCCTATGACTGGACTTGTGATTGAAAAATGTCAATGGTATTTGTTGAGTAATGTTGTCTTTCCATAACCACCTTTTTTTTCAGACCCCACAATTCAAAGAGCACAAAAAAAAACACGAATGAAATTGCTCTTAATAAAAAGGGTCTATCTTCAACACAAATTCATCTTGTTGTCTGTGTACATTCTTCAAGGGTGAACAGTACAAGTACACTCAGAGTTTGTTTTTGTACACTCTTATCGTGGTAAGTAGTAGTCTAGGGGCTAGACGCTGATATGGTTTGATATACAAATATAACATGGTTTGAGGGTGGACAGTCGATATTCGCTCCCCGAGGTATTGGAAGTTGACAAACTAGTTCCCGAGGCGAAGCCGAGGGAACTAGTTTGTCAACTTCCAATACCTCGGGGAGCGAATATCGACTGTCCACCCTCTAACCATGTTATATTTGTTTTACTATACCTCATACATAATTCAGTTGCCGAATTTTGTTTAATTATTACGCACCTAAAACAAAATTCGGGGAAACTTGTACAGCTCATCAAAAAATTCAACTTCAATTACTAGTTCGGTTCGTTTGCAATATAATACAGTTACTACAGTTGTAAATACAAATGTTTGCAATGTGTCCAACTTTCTTTTGTACAGGAGACATCTTTACACGGTCTATAAATTTTCTCCAGTACGGCATCATTGAGCTCTGGAAATTAACATTTACGCGAACCATGCAACCATGCATCTCTCCTGGGCACCCGTGCGACAGTTCCTCGATTGCTCTGTAAAGCGCATGCGTAGTAGACTGTCGCACGGGTAACCCATGCGACAGTCTACTACGCATGCGTATTTACAATGTGCGTGAATCCTCGCGCGCGCTTTTGGTAAACAGCAAGAATAACATCTGGCACGTGATGGTGAATTGACCAGTGAACGTTCGGCTCTCGATCATGAATATGTATGAGGTATAGTAATACGAGATAACCCGCCGCCGCGAGAGGGCGTTATCACAACCAACCAATATCACCCACGAACCTGTCAGGAACAACATCTAGGGAAACTTGTATTGGTTGTGTAATACGTGACACCTGTTTGGCCTAATATATGCAGCGCATTCCAAACATATCAATGTAGATCCAAACCAAACTCTTAAATTTCTTGTAGTGGTATAAAAGATGCAGAAAGACTTTTGTGCAACTTCACTGGTCAGCTCTTTTGTGGTGTGTAGTGTGCGTGGGACTGAAAATGGACCATAATTGCCTGCAGAAGTAGCGCATGCGCACTAGTTTCCCCCATTTTTTCGGGGGAGATTTTTCAAATTTCCCTAGAGTTGATCCTGACAGGTTCGTGGGTGATTTTGGTTGGTCGTGATAACGCCCTCTCACCGCGGCGGGTTATCACGGCGGAGGGTTATTGCGTATCAAACCATAACAATGTCTAGCCCCTAGACTACGTGATTAGGTATTGCTGATCTGTGCTTGGAGCTTTAAGTTGGTATGTGCACAAACTAGTCAAGAACACAACCAAACTTGTTTTTGTTTGACTTGGCTCTCACATGTCAAGAAAGAATTGTATGAATAATCAAAGATAAATTTCACAAGAGCTTACCAGAAGATTTGGTCGTTTCTTGAGAAGAACAATCATTGCAGCACCGGTCAAAATCAGCTATAAATCAAGGGGAATAAAACAAGTACGATAAAACAACATTTGCTTTTGCTGTCATTTTCAGAAATGGATGGATTTGGGATTTAGTATTTTATAGCCAATATTGTAACACTGACCTGTTTAAAGTTTTGTGTTCATAGATGCTTGGTTCACTGATCCTTTTTCCGACGAAAGGGAGCAATTTATAGACGTCAGGGAATTGTCAGGTCAGGGAACCAGACTAGCTGGCTTGGTAAATTGAGGGCAGTATTTGAGAAAAATCAGGGTTTTTCCAGCGATGGTTGTCTGGCCATCGTTGGAAATCGACACAAAAATTACACTTTTCTTGAAAATGACAGCACACCAGGTGCCATCATTTCACTGGATGCTTGAGACAGGAACAAAGGCAAACTGCCTCGGGTGTGAATATATTATAAACATTTCTACATATTATTATAACTATAATACTATAATTTATTGACAAGCATTGTCATTTTGTTAATATATTTCATAAATCATTTCCAAATTGACAGAGTTGTCCATATTGAAGTCAATTTTTTTCCCATACTGCAAAACTGGCATGTCTGCATGGTAAAAACTGTTCGTGGTGCCGGTAAAGTGAATTGTTCCAATTATACACACTGAATCACACTAACCAAAACAGCGACAACATATGTTGGTAGGGCGCCCTCTACGTAGTACAGTGAGGCAGTCAGTCCCCTAGCAACGATGTACAGGATTATTAGAAGAATCCCTAGCAACGTGAGGAATGCTCCGGATATGGGCAGCATCAGCAGGCTGTCCGTGCACAGAAAACGCTTCATGATGGCCTCCCTCTGGGTTTGCTAGTTAGTCTTCAAACAAGTCAATCTCTGCTATGAGTCCCATGGCCTGTGGTTACGATAAAAATACAACTGTTGCTATTTGTATACCATTGAGGTAGTGGCTAATAGTGTCTGTGTGCAATGGTCAATTTCCATAAACATTTCGACGGAAAGATTTCCATATACGAAGTTCACTCAACACCCTGTGTACAAATCCTATGAGATTGGACTGAAAAATTCTAAGTGTTTTCTAAGAAAATGCTTGTATTTTCTCACTGCTCAAATTGACTTTGATGACATGAAATTGCTATCTGGGGGCTTGTTAGTCAATACGGGTCGCACTAAACAGCGTCAACACAGCGTCAACACAGCGTCAACACATGACAGAAGCGTCAACACACCGTCAACACATCCAAAACACATTCTGAATTGACAAAAAGGGCATATAATTGTGAAACATACAATAAAAGAGAATTTCCATTGGATTGAGTTTCCATTTCGTTGTTAAAAATATCGTATTTTCACGCGAAAAAAATGACCTTAACTTGCACGGCCGTTGTCCGCCATCTTGACTTCGCACAAAGCTTGGACTACACCATTTCAAGTAGGGGTGTGTAGGTAATGACATTATCTTGTCATAAACAACAGAGGGCGCCTAATGTAAATACCAACGAACAAGTAAAGAAAATTAAACAACAAAGGCAATTGCAGCGTAAACACAGCATTAAATTGTTAGTCTTTGCAGATATTTTTAACACTGGCAACCCCGGCCCGGCCGCGTCCCTCTCTGTTGGTTTATTGTACAACGCTATCACCCTTTAGAATAATGGTATGGTCCGCGCTGCCACTGAGGCAACATGGCGGGTGTTCGGCAGCCGATTTCGGAGCGGCACGGAGAGCCAATTTTCTTGAACTGAAAATCGCGATTTTCAGACGTTTAACCTATTGATTTTAAGCACAAATCTTGTTTCTGTCCATACTGTATGGGTTACATACTGCTTTTGTCAATTTTAATGCATTTTGGATGTGTTGACGCTGTGTTGACGCTGTGTTGACGCTTTGGAGTGTGTTGACGCTGGTTGACGCTGTTTAGTATGACCGGTCAATACAGAGGAAAATTAGTGAACTTCGTATATGGAAATCTTTCCCATTTCGACAACATTCATGACATTGTCAATGTCCGACATCTGATTGATTTCCAATGATCTAATAATTTTAACACATTCCACAACAATCTTATTCAAGGAAACTGAAGGCAAGAGATGTACATGTAGGCCTAAAAAGATCACAGACTTCTTACTTGATTAATTTATCTTGTAAATATTATTTGCCGGGAAGACTTCCATACCTGGATGTGGACATCATTAATTTTTCCCTGCAGTGACCTCAGCCATCAAAAGCGATAACATGTCCTTAAACGTCAAATTTACAAAATGATTAAGGCCTAGGCCTACCAGGGAAAATATTGAAGTATTTATTTACTGAGAAAACACTGGCGATCGTGTAGTTTAGGGCCCGGTTCAGTGTAAGGGAACGAAATCCACTTTAAAATTATTAGTTGGCAACATTCTCAATAAACAGGTATGTCACTCATACTCATAGATAGAGGGCAGGGTTTTAATTTTTTGAGGGAAATTTGAGGGTAAAAATGCCGATGACAGCACGGCGACAGCAACACGCAAGGCACAAACCGCACAGGAAAATTGTGATTTCTACCCCTAGAAACTGCTCAAAATTGCAAAATGGGTGTCTTTAGAATGAGAAAAGTCTGCTTTTGATTGTAAAGGTGATTTTTGAGCAATAAAAAAAACATTTTCAAATCTAATTTGTTCAAAACAAAACAGCGGCCCTACACTACACGATCGCCCAAACACTTTTTTTCAGACCAACTCGTCATACTCATCATAGCATAGCATATAGGGACGGGTTTGTGCAGATAGTGTCAAGTGATGTCCAGGTATCATGGGTTTGGAACTCTTTCCATTCGACTGTGTTTAGTTTAGTACAAATGTATTGACTCAAAGGACTGACGACCCAGTCAGTCCCAGCAGCAAACAATGGCATATCCGATATATCGACCCGATTGGGTGGAGTACACGAAGTGCAGTGACGTTTCATCTCATATCATCTCTGCTCATTTATTTATCGTCAATCACGAACCACATTTTTACGACATAAATCTACAAAAATGCATTACCTTCGAGAAGACCAGGCCGAAATCATATCACAAACCATAGCAGCATAAAGTCTTTGGTTGGGAAGGGCATTCAACTAGGCATATTTTAAGGAACAAAATTCTAACCGAAACCGCGAAATATCGAAAATGATCTCCAACGTAAAGCGTTCCTAGCAATGAAATCAAATTACATCGCATGGTGGCGCTATTTCATTTTTACACAGCGTTTATTCCATAGACATCAGTCTGTGTTATGCAGCTTCCCAACAAACCAAACACACTGGGCTCATTATATCGACTTGTTTTTACCCATTAAGGTAAAGCAAATGGACCCAGTAATCTTCCTGGCGCGTTTGCTCACCTATAAAGACAACTTTTCTCAGTTTAAGGAAAATTCTAAGGTAACGAAATGGCCGAGTGGTTACGATTCGTCGTCCACGGTTAGCGGGGTCCCGGGTTCGAATCCCGCTGGTGTCTTTTTGGTTTTTAACGTATGAGTTCAATTATTCACTATAAGAGATTTAATTTCCCGTCGTAAAGTACCAACAGTACCTTAGCTTAATCGGTAAGCACTGCTGCTGGTACTGTCCGCGAGTTCCAGGTTGGCGCCTTCGTACAGGTTCAGGGCATGTGGTCCACTCGGAGGATCAGGGCTTAGGGGCCGCCCTGTTCCTCCCTTAGCTCTTTGCTTTTACATGGTGCCTGGCCCTCCGGGGTTATATGGATGGATAGGGAAGGAAGTGTGTATTGGTCGGGGACGCCGAGACCCCGGAAGAGAACTAAGGGATCGGCTGGGGCATTGTTATGGCTCAGACCGATCCCTGAAAGCTTGACTAGCACATAACTTTTTGATTTTTTTTACCCTCTATCTTTTATACCTTGGTTTAGTTTGATATCTACAGCTGCTCGGCAGGTCTACGGGTAGTATCAAAATTGAAACAAAGGTGTATGTCATAAATCAATGAATATTTCATAATTGACTATAATCAAAACGGAGTTTCGTTTGATCAATTTGACTATCATTATATAATGACGCGATTGCCAATTGACGTAAGAAACGCCATAAATTATACCGGGAAAGAATAAAGATGTACATTGTAATAAAAATATTATTTATACATCAAATAACGTGTCTTTAATTGTGTGCATTCCAAACAATACAGTAATTCGCAATAGTAATAGAATGGTATATGATAGCACGATCAATGCGTCTCTATTAAATTTAAATATATATAATTTAGGCCCCTATGTGTGAAATATTCTTTGATTGACTATGAGCATTCCATACGAATGAGTTAATTCGCAAAATATAGCAACAACAAAAGAGAAAGGAAAAAGAGAAAATTCCGTTACCCTAAAAACTGGAAAAATAATTTGTTTTAAAAAAGTCAAATGGGACACTTCATGTATTGATTTAACAGTTTGCAAGGAGTTAGCCTTACGTTTTAGCAAAATTGGGAAAAATCAGATGTTTCGGAAAATTGCAGCTTGTAGGCCTATGGGGTTAACCTTGCATTTTTAGTAAAAGTTAGATGTTGATGAAACATTTCAAATAGTAAGGGGTGAACCTTGCATTTTTAAGCGAAATTGGGCAAAATCAGATCTTTCTGGAAACTTTTAGATTGTAAGGGGTTAACCTTGCTTTTGTAGTAAAATTTGGCAAAATAAGATGTGTATGAAAAATTTTCAATTGTAAGGGGTTAACCTTTCTTTTTTAGTAAAATTGGGAAAATTTAAATGCTTATGAAAAATTTCAAATTGTCAGTGGTTAACCTTGCATTTTTTTAGCAAAATAGGGCAAAATCAGGTGTTGATGGAAAATTTCAGATAGTAAGGGGTTAACTTTGCATTATTAGCAAAATTGGGCAAAATCAGATTTGTATGAAAAATCAAAAATTGTAAGAGGTTAACCCTGCCAAATTAGGGCAAAATCAAATGTTTCTGGAAAATTGCAGATTGAAAGGGGTTAACCTTGCTTTTTTAAGCGAAATTGGGAAAAATCAGATGTTTCTTGAAAATTGCAGATTGTAAGGGGTTAACTTGGCATTTTTAGCAAACTTGGCAATATCAGATTTATATGAAAAATCTCAAATTGTAAGGGGTGAACCTTGTATTTTTAGCGAAATTGGGCAAAATCAGATCTGTCTGGAAAATTTCAGATTGTAAGGTGTTAACCTTGCTTTTTAAGTGATATTTGGCAAAATAATATGTGAATGAAAAATTTCAAATTGTAAGGGGTTAACCTTGCTTTTTTAGTAAAATTGGGCAAATTTAAATGTTTATGAAAAATCTCAAATTGTAAGGGGTGAACCTTGCATTTTTTAGCAAAATAGGGCAAAATCAGGTGTTTATGAAAAATGTCAGATTAGGGGTTCACCTTGCATTTTTTTGCAAAATTGGGCAAAATCAGATTTGTATGAAAAATCAAAAATTGTAAGAGGTTATACCTTTGCCCGATTAGGGCAAAATCAGATGTTTCTGGAAAATTGCAGATTGAAAGGGGTAAACCTTGCATTTTTAGCAAAACTGGGAAATATCAGATTTTTGTGTAAAATCTCAAATTGTAAGGGGTGAACCTTGTATTTTTAGCGAAATTGGGCAAAATCAGATCTGTCTGGAAAATTTCAGATTGTAAGGTGTTAACCTTGCTTTTTTAGTGATATTTGGCAAAATAATATGTGAATGAAAAATTTCAAATTGTAAGGGGTTAACCTTGCTATTTTAGTAAAATTGGGCAAATTTAAATGTTTATGAAAAATCTCAAATTGTAAGGGGTGAACCTTGCATTTTTTAACAAAATAGGGCAAAATCAGGTGTTTATGAAAAATGTCAGATTAGGGGTTCACCTTGCATTTTTTTGCAAAATTGGGCAAAATCAGATTTGTATGAAAAATCAAAAATTGTAAGAGGTTATACCTTTGCCTGATTAGAGCAAAATCAGATGTTTCTGGAAAATTGCAGATTGAAAGGGGTAAACCTTGCATTTTTAGCAAAACTGGGAAATATCAGATTTTTGTGTAAAATCTCAAATTGTAAGGGGTGAACCTTTCATATATTAGCAAAATTGGGCAAAATCAGATGTTTCTGAAAAAAATTCCGATGTTAGGAATTAACCTTACTTTTTTCTTTAGTGAAATTTGGTAAAATTAGATGTTTATGGAAAATTTCAAATTGTAAGGGGTTAACCTTGCATTGTAGCAAAATTGGGCAAAATCAGATGTTTCTGGAAAATTTCAGATGTAAGGGATTATCCTTGCTTTTTTAGTGAAATTTGGCAAAGTTAGATGTTGATGAAAAATCTCAAATTGTAAGGGGTGAACCTTGTATTTTAAGCGAAATTGGGCAAAATCAGATCTTTCTGGAAAATGTCAGATTGTAAGGGGTTAACCTTGCTTTTTTATTTGGCAAAATAAGATGTGAATGAAAAATTCCAAATTGTAAGGGGTTAACCTTGCTTTTTTAGTAAAATTGGGCAAATTTAAATGTTTATGAAAAATCTCAAATTGTAAGGGGTGAACCTTGCATTTTTTTTGCAAAATAGGGCAAAATCAGGTGTTTATGAAAAATGTCAGATTTTAAGGGGTTCACTTGCATTTTTAGCAAAATTGGGAAAAATCAGATTTGTATGAAAAATCAGATTTGTATGAAAAATCAAAAATTGTAAGAGGTTAACCTTTGCCCAATTAGGGCAAAATCAGATGTTTCTGGAAAATTGCAGATTGAAAGGGGTTAACCTGGCATTTTAAGCAAAACTGGGCAATATCAGATTTTTATGAAAAATCTCAAATTGTAAGGGGTGAACCTTGCATTTTTAGCAAAATTGGGCAAAATCAGATGTTTCTGAAAAATTTCAGATGTAAGGGGGTTAACCTTGCTTTTTTAGTAAAATTGGGCAAATTTTAATGTGCATGAAAAATTTCAAATTGTAAGGGGTGAACCTTGCATTTTTAAGCAAAATACTGCAAAACCAGGTGTTCATGAAAAATTTCAGATTGTAAAGGGTTCACTTTGCATTTTAAGCAAAATTGGGAAAAATCAGATTTGTATGAAAAATCAAAAATTGTAAGGGGTTAACCTTTGCCAAATTAGGGCAAAATCAGATGTTTCTGGAAATTGCAGATTGAAAGGGGTTAACCTTGCATTTTAAGCAAAATTGGGCAAAATGAGATTTTTATGAAAAATCTCAAAATGAAAGGGGTGAACCTTGCATATATTAGCAAAATTGGGCAAAATCCGATGTTTTTGAAAAAAAATTCCGATGTAAGGAATTAACCTTACTTTTTGTTTTAGTGAAATTTGGTAAAAATTAGATGTTTCTGAAAAATTTCATATTGTAAGGGGTGAAGATTGCATTTTTTTAAAGCAAAATAGGGCAAATTCAGATGTTTATGGAAAATTTCAAATTGTAAGGGGTTAACCTTGCATTTTAGCAAAATTGGGCAAAATCAGATGTTTCTGGAAAATTTCAGATGTAAGGGATTATCCTTGCTGTTTTAGTGAAATTTGGCAAAGTTAGATGTTTATGAAAAATTTCACATGATAAGGGGTTAACCTTGCATTTTTTTAGCGAAATTGGGGGAAAAATCTGATGTTTCTGGAAAATTGCAGACTGTAAGGGGTTAACTTTCTTTTTGAATAAGATTGGGAAAAATTAGATGTTTATGAAAAAAATTCCGATGTAAGGAATTAACCTTACTTTTTCTTTAGTGAAATTTGGTAAAATTAGATGTTTATGGAAAATTTCAAATTGTAAGGGGTTAACCTTGCATTTTAGCAAAATTGGGCAAAATCAGATGTTTCTGGACAATTTCAGATGTAAGGGATTATCCTTGCTTTTTTAGTGAAATTTGGCAAAGTTAGATGTTGATGAAAAATCTCAAATTGTAAGGGGTAAACCTTGTATTGTTACCGAAATTGGGCAAAATCAGATCTTTCTGGAAAATGTCAGATTGTAAGGGGTTAACCTTGCTTTTTTATTTGGCAAAATAAGATGTGAATGAAAAATTTCAAATTGTAAGGGGTTAACCTTGCTTTTTTAGTAAAATTGGGCAAATTTAAATGTTTATGAAAAATCTCAAATTGTAAGGGGAGAACCTTGCATTTTTTTTGCAAAATAGGGCAAAATCAGGTGTTTATGAAAAATGTCAGATTGTAAGGGGTTCACTTGCATTTTTAGCAAAATTGGGAAAATCAGATTTGTAT